AAAAAAAAAAAAAAAAAAAAAAAAAAAAAAAAAAAAAAAAAAAAAAAAAAAAAACAAAACAAAACAAAACAAAAAACAAAAATACAATCTGTACACAAGACATGTGACGGAGAGCGAAACCGTGTGCTGTGTGTTATCGGAGAAAAAAAAAATATTTCAAGGAAGTAAACAGAGCGACAAGTTTCATTGCCTTGAATGATACACGCAAAGCCATCAACCACTTTAAACCTGTTTTTTTGCCACTCGGGCGGAAAAAAAATATTCCGATTTTCGAATGTACCCCCCCGTCTCGAGCACCCCGTCCTGACTTTGTTACAAGCCCTGCACGGGCTGTAGCAGGAGAAAATCGCTCCGGGGAACTGTAGGAAAGTAGCGGAGTTTACATAACTGGCGTCGGGATCGGTAAGGGCTTGGGGAATCGATTTGAGCAAGAATTGAGTGGAAGACTGAGCGATAGGTACAAGGGATATGTATCATAAAAAGGGGAAATCGGTGTGTTGGAATTTTTGCAAATTTTCACCCCACAATCAAACACGTATAGTTTATCCATCTAATTTACCAGCTTTGCCGAACTGAATGTATGGACTTTTTAATTCTTTTTGGTTTTGAGGTTGTTTAAAAGTGTTACGAAACATTAGCCATCCCCCGATACAAATATAAAACGAAAGAAACATACAAGTACTTGAGATAAAAAATTCTTTTAAACTTTTAAGTATCGTTTCCTCAGAGTAATCAACGTTATTATAGATCTTAAATGTCATCGTACTTAAAAAAAAAGAGATTTTTTTTCGTTTTTGATTTTTATTTTGTATAAGGATGTGGACTCGCGCAATAAACCTGAGAAGATTTGGTTTCTGGACAAATGGGTGTTGATATACATTTAATTATTTTTTGACTAAAGTGTTTTTCATACAACACAGCATTGCCATTGATTTTGAAAATAAAAGTGTTCATGAAGGCAATGCACATAGTACACCATATTAATTTTAGAAATCTTTGTTAATGCATGAATAAAATCTTGGTGATTAATTATCGTGTCACAGTTAGGACTTTAATTTTTTTTAATTTTCTAAAAAATCGAGCAAACATGTACATTGCAAACAAACTTACAATCAAATATAAAAAAGTTGTAAGTCAATAACATAATGAACGGTATTTAAGCTATTATTAACATGCGTACCTGTAACACATACGTATTATAATTCCGTGTTAAAGAAACGTATAATTATATAGCTATATATTTTTTTAAATTTCACCTGTACATCTTAGAGCAACACTTACGATAGATATTGCTAGTGTAAATCAATAAAATAGTTCTTATAGTTGTATGGCTTTTGTATTATGAATAAAACATTGTGTAGAACATAATAAAAAATTCAATTCTCTTTATACTGAACAAATTTTATTGATATCACGAGATTTGGATGTTATATAACGATTTGAAAATTAATATCAATAAAGCACGTGCATTTTTTATTATTATGTCTAGCTTTTTATGATAAAAAACTTTTTTTTAATGACGTGAACATCCGAGTTAAGGAAGTTATGACATGTTGTTTTGTTTGAAAAAAAAAAGTAAGCTGCGAACGTCACTCGATTTCTCACTTGAATGGATTTTTGCTAAACAGATAAGACGAAAAACATCAGGTGAGTTTCGTTCTAATTAAATGATTCATATCAAATTTATTAAAACCAGATTATTGACCTTATAATATGATGTTAATTTTCGGTGCCGAGTAATAAATGTACGTACGTGTAGCTGATTTGCATTTTTTAAACCGCAGATATTACCCACCGAACCAAGTATGCCGCAATTGGTAATTTGACGGTGTGAAATCAAAACTTTTGGAATTAAAAAATCATTTAAAGCACATATTTTTATGTATACAACTAGTACGCCGCAGGGCCCTATAAAATTGTACGAACAAGCTATTATCAGTCAATGACTGGAGTTATTTTCTTTTTTGAAATTACATAACGAGATATGAAAAAAAATGTATTAAGTGGTACGATCAAAATTAATGTTTTTTTTTTTTTTTTTTTTTTTTTTTTTAAGGTTTTCGTACATCTTTATGTGGTAAGAGATAAAGCATATGTTTATGTGTGTTATCCGATGTGACTCAAAATAATGAAATTTCCCAGATTAATCATGAACTAATAGTCAGTGTCATTATTGGTTCATTCGTTTTTACAAATCATTTGAGTACGCATTTTAAAGCCTCCGTGAGTCAAAGTCCATACATCAATACGGAATAAAACATTGAAATTCTTTCCAAGGCAAACTAGCACATGTGCGTGAAGGCAACAATAAGATAAGACGTAATTTGTTTTTATTGCACTGTATGATTTTTTGTTCGTGTACAAAACACTTGGTTTTAACGGACATCTCTACGTATGTTTGAATCTTTGTATAAAGGATTTTTAGGACTAGGACGAAGCCCTATATGACACGTATTAAGTTGATAATTGGGGAAAAGTACAGTGGCTAGAAAAAAAACACCGCATAGTTTAAAACACTTAACGCTCGATAAACAAAAAAAATTAGATTTTCTTTCAGTTAGTTTAACTAATAAGAGTATTTGAAAGGTACTAAACGACGTTCGAGTGTCACGGAAAAACTAATCTGAGCTAAATACCGTCAACTTTCGTAATTTCCGCAAATGCTGTTCTTTAGACTGATACACGGTGATATGAGCTAATCGAAAAGAACGGCACCTATTTTGGTATAATAATCGATACGCGTTACACAATAATTCATTCAAGTCCCGAGAGTGGGAGTGTCGGCACGTTCGAAAGGTGCTGTGTTGATAAATTTACTTGGCCTCTTTTCGGGCTTCCAGTTTACAATCTGACGTAAAATCACAAACATCATCGTTTGAGCCAATTCACATGTGATTAGCGCCGCGAGAAGCACCAAAGTAATTGGTAAATCGAATTTTCAACTGCCATAACGTTTTTCAATTAATTTCCATCACGTGCACATTCGTTTTATCGTAATTGTGTATATTGGACTTGCGATAAATTTCAACAATATGTAATGATTTATTTTGTTTTGGTTGTTTCACCCGTAGTTTCCCGATGAGTCTGTAACCGAACGTTTCGCACATCCGAAATCCAAAAAAGAAAACAAAAAATGGTGGACAAAACGAACTCCGTGACAGCAACGGCATCGAAGCAGTTCAAGGATCGCCAAGACCAAATTTTTCGGGGAAAAAAACACCCCGACCACTATGACGAGCCACACGACAGTGACGCGGACAGCGGGTTTTCCAACGATGACGAAAGCGACTGGAGCGATTTCTCTGACCATACGGAGTCCGAGAGCGAGGAAGTCCTAAGTCAGCGCAGGGAGAAGGACATGGAGAGACTGGCCAGATTTATAGCCGATAATTTGGAGGAGGTGCCCAAGGAGCAAAGAAAAGCTTGGGTGCTGGAAAAAACCAAGGAGGTTTTCGACGAGACTTTGCCAGAGTCGCTCTTGGATATCACTGCGGCGAGGTTCTTCGAAGGGGACACGGGAATAGACGTCAACGCGAGGCCACACTGGCTCGACATGGACAAATTGCGCAGAGGACAAAAGTTCGCCCTCGACCACCTGTCGTCCCTGGCTTACGCGGACGTGGTGTCGCTGTTTGCCCTGTACTCCTTTTACGAGGATCTGAAATCCATCATTGCCACCGGGCAGTCCAGCACCCCATACGCGTCCTTCAAAAGGTATGTTGCGAAAAAACGAACGTTGCTTTATCGAGCTTGAAAATTTTGGAAGGTCAAAACGATGGTTAATGAACATTTTTAAGGTTTCTGTCGACGTGCGCTCGGGTTCACAACTGGTACAAGTCCGACCCTTGGACCCCGGGCACCCCGGCCAACAAGGACATAAAGGCAGTGCGCAACCTGCACAAGTTGGTGAGAAAGAGAATGGCGTCCATGTCGGCCGAAGAATTCAAGGAGAGGTCGAGCATAAAGGAGCCCTGGTGTGTGGCGCTGGCCACCTCCAGGCGAGATCTGCAGTCGTCGTGTCCGGCTCCAAAAGTGGGAAAGTGCCCTTTTGCCTTTGTCAACAAGTACAAGACGTTGACCGGCCGGTTTTTGAGCCAAGGTGAAATGGTGGGCACACAGTTTGGTTTCGTCGGTTTGATCGTACTGAGGCCCGAGGTTTTTGGCATACATTACGCCACGGACGACGATCTCGAGGGCTTTTTGCACCTGTGGAGGAGCATAGGTTACCAACTCGGTCTGGACGACAAGTGAGTGCCACCATTACTCGACACAATTACACGTTTTTTTTTTTTTTTTTTTTTTTTTTTTTTTTTTTTTTTTTTTTTTTTTTTTTTTTTTTNTACGTGCACGGCGACTATCGGCTGTGTATTTTTTGTTGTTTTTTTTTTTTTTTCGTTTTTTCCCACAAAAATTACAACAAAAATTGTTTTGCAGTTACAACTTTTGTCGAGGGAGTTTGGAAGACGTGAGGACTCGCAGCAGGGAATTCCTCGAGTTCTGGGTTAAGCCGAATTTAAGGTCAGTCACCCCCGAGTGGGAGCACATGATGAGGTGCGTGTTTCAAGGCGTCAAGTACTACTACCCGGGAGCTTCTTACGAGATTGCTTTGTTGGATTTTGCCGAAATAATCGGTATCAAAATGCCAGGGCTGTACCAAAGTATCTCGTATTCCTTGTGGATCACGCGATGCGTGATGAGGTGAGAGATTCATTACCTGTTCCGGTGTCCGGAACAATATACATATATATATATTTATTTTTACTCCATGTCACGTGCGGAAATTGAAATTGAAAAATCATTTTAGGCTCTACTTGAGTTACGGGCTGAGGTACGATATATTCCGCGTGCGTTTTAACAATTTCTTGGAGATGAGGATCGAAAGGGCCATGAGATTCGACGAAAAAAAGCACGAGGAACTGCAAAGGAGATCGGCAGAGACGCTAATGTCTTGCGCGACGAACAAACGAGAGTAATCATCGACAAACAAATTAAGCCTATTTGGAGCCACAAAATGACATACCACGAATCGATAGAGGTGGTTGAAAAATGATCTTGCAGTAATTTAATCGGAAAATTTCTTGCCTTGTAAAACAGTATCGAAAATTGTATTAGAGGAGCGTCAAACTTCTATATTATTATAGTCATGAAAATCTAAGACTCGTATACTCATACGGTGAGGTTAACAAATGTTTGCTCTTATGTATGTGCATACCCAGGACATTAGCGCTAAAATAATATTTATAAAAGAACAAAATTATTTATATTATACTATATCGAAAGTTCAAATGTTACACAAATTACGTGTGACTTTGTTGTCACCTACAATATTTTTCATTGTGATTGCATGTAAATTGACTAATTTTAGTACCTTTTAGTACAATACACAGTATTCCTACATAAGGCGACTCATGACAAAAATGTAGATTAAGATAAATTATTTTTGAGTAAACAAGTGTTACTCATTACATTAATTTGACTATTGTTTTTTTTTTTTTTTTAATCATTTTATGTCTACAAAGTTCGAATTTACACAATCTGACACTTATCTTTACTTCAAATATAACTCACTGCTAATATATGTACATTGTATTAATTAACAAAAAATAATATCAAAAACTTTTCTAACTATGTAAAATTTTTTTGTGGCACCACTAGTAATATACTTTTATTGTTCTAAAAAAGCTACATTTTAAATTTGTGTGATACGATTTTAAAAACTATTTTATTATCTAGCATCGAAATGACTACGATTATGTAAAAAAAAAGTTACTCATTACTATTCTTGATTTGTACCCCGAAAAAAAAATAATAAATCAGATTATTGGTAATATTTTTTTTGTACAATTTGATTATGATAACATCCGAAATACTTTGCTGTACTATATACAACTACAACAATCGCCAATTTTTTTAATACATAGGCTATTTATTACCCAAACTATTTGGCTGAAAAAATTTGATTTAATTGACCAACGACTACACTATTTGCGGGTTAATGTGTTAAGAAATTGAAAAAAAAATTTTTAGGCTTTATTTATATCTGCTATACGCTTTAAAGGTGCAATAGATTGTGTTTAAATTTTAACTAACCCTGGGAGACGAAAATTAAAAGGAGTAAATGCAAAGGAGTATGGTAGAAATGCCATCGTCTTACGACAAACCTCATTTTGAGTGCTAAAATCATTCTCTGATTTGATGGGTGGCTGTGTAACAGAAATGGCCTCTGGTGGGAATTTAATTTTGTAATAGGAAAATTGCTGGTGTTCCAAATAGTATTCTAAATTGTACTATACGGCAGTAAAATGTTTATGTTTGCAACGTGCTATGTAGTCGTAAAGGTCGTACACTGTAAAATATCGTAGAGATAAATAGCTATGTAGTACGGTTGCAAAATATTTTTTGTATGTATATTTTGTACATAAGGAAATTAGCATTACAACGGCTGAAAAAAAAAATTCATCTAAGAAATTTTTCAAAACTTTGTCACTACATGGGTCACATGTTAACTTATTTTAATAATAGTTTACATTTTTTGTGTGTGTGCTTATTTTAGAGTTAAGTTTTCTTACAAAATACTATGTCTACTGCATAAGGTGTAATTCAACGAGTACAATAAAGTGCTACACCGTTTGAGTATGAAAAAAAGGAAAAAAATTATTTATTCAACAGTTATATTTTTAGTTACCGAAAATACTTTGCGCGTGATGACGTATAGTTTGCGTTTTATAAAAGTTCAACAATTATTATTTTTGTAAAGGAGGACAAAAGTTCGCCCTCGACCACCTGTCGTCCCTGGCTTACGCGGACGTGGTGTCGCTGTTTGCCCTGTACTCCTTTTACGAGGATCTGAAATCCATCATTGCCACCNTAATAATAAGTAAAAGTAAAGACATTGTTCGACAAAACGAGGGTAAAAAGTGTATCTTTATTAAATATGCAATTTCATTTTCCGACTGTACGTAGAGCACGAAAATCTTTCAACGGAATGAAAATGCGAGTGGTTACGAATACCCCTCATTAACAACGCCTCAAAGCTGGTACGCGAGTTTTTGCGTAACATCGAGTCATCTTGAAAAATTACAGATCTCGCTTGTGAGACAGACTCACGGTAGTTTTGTGGTTTCTGTTGAAATTTATTTTTTAATCATAATACATAATACTGGTGACATTTCCTATGGCATTAAAATTTTTTCTCTTGTTATTTACGCGTAGACACGCTAGATATAAAATACAATAACTCATAAAAATTGACTGTAAAAAATAGTTCACGATCTTTTGTTTACACCGCATTAATATTAAACTTGCGGGCAAGTATTTTCTAATCGAAGTTTCACGCGTATCCAACGATACACCAATGTCATCGTCGACTTGAAAAGCACAAAAAAGCGCGAGAAATTACTAATGAAAAAACAAAAAAACAAAAAAGACACTAGTGAAGCGTCTAATAAGTTACATTTTATTCAAGGTTAATAAGCGACTATATGGTAGCTCATCTTAAAAAACTAACGACCTAAGCGGCAGAAGAAGTAGTAAATCTTATTTGTTGCAGGTCGCAGGTATATGTACTAATATACGGCCGAGTTTGTACACGGCAATCTTACAATATATTAAGATTGCACTTGTGCCCATAAAGCTATGCGCGCGTACGGGGAAAAGAGAGAGGGGCGTGTTGTATTATCTCCCTCGCTCTTTCGCACGTGCGTATAATATTATATGGTCTCGAAGATGCAATGCCATCAACTTGCGTTGCACCGTCCAATCGAGTGGCACTAGACTTCGCATTGCGCGGAGATCAAACGCGGGCGCGCTTCTGTGGCGGCAAGTTGAGGTAATGTATCAAGTGCTTTCGAAAAGTGCAGCATCGTCGTGTGATCAGTTTTTTTATTCGCTTTTGGGTGACATCAGCTATTTGTTTTGTATTGCCGGTCGATTAATTTAGCTCAAATGTATACCGATTCTTATTTTTCATCGTTTTTTGTACTGGCGGTTGAAAATTTGCTAGTTTTTTAAAATGCTATTGATTTTTTTTAGCATTGCTATTAGAGTTTTAGAATTTTTTTACACAATTATCGACACGCAAAACTGTAAGCCAAGTTTATGAAAAATTTCAGTTACTAGTCGTGCCCTCACGCAAGGACGATCATTTTTTGTAGTGGATCTGGATTTTTTATAGTGGAAATTTTTAAGGTAAGTTAAAAATTTTTTAAATCAAAAAAAAGGTTGCCTCCCATGTAGTTCAACTTCTCAAAGTAGTAGAAGAATAAAACTTTTACGCTTAATGTCAAAAGTATTTTTCTAAATTATTTCCGTTTGCAGAACAAGAAAACTAAGTACTGAGAGTAAAATCATGATAGCAAAGCAGTACATTACGTATTCTATCTGAGTCATTTATTTTGCGGTCCAATGCAAGTTATAAATACTTTTTATGATTCAACTACTGGTACAATGTTATTTGACCGATTTCATGGTTGGAAAAAATAAAAACAATGACAATCGCAGTACATTTTTCCTTCATTTATATACGATCACCTTTAAAATTTTTCATTACAATCAAAGATAATTTATACGACACTGATTGCTATCCATGAATTTTCCTCGTTGCATTTGAATTCGGTATAAAATTGCCGTGTTAGAAAGAAAAAACCGGGAAAACCACTTTATTTTTACATCTAATGAACATTGTCAAGGATTGACCTTCTCAACAACTGGTCAGCGGTAATTTTATTCGATTGTCGTGCTAATTAATGGAGCTCATGTATGCTTCGACATTACCGAAATTCACTGGTGCAAATAAAATTCCGTTTCTTTGAAAAATGTACAAACATTGAGCTGCAAAAATTTATTTCATCGTGTAAGTGTTAGATACTTAAAATTCTCGCGAAAAAGAAAAAGTTTTTATTTCACTGAAATAATATTTTTCACACGTGGTTGGTAAACGAATTTTTCAAGCAAAATCAAATCAAAAACTTGATAAAATATACGATAAATTCTTTGAACCCGTTCAAGCGATCCTTAAAAATGTAAATTTTCTCGCGGTAATGACTAATCTAGTACCACACCAACTTGTTTTTCCGATTCTTTGGTGACCGCGGAATATTTTTCACAACAGTCTCTCATGTCTGTAATTTATCAGTACATTATTTACACGCAACGGATAAAATAAATATTTGCTAATTTGTAGAGCAACAAAAAAGTAACGAAGAAAAATCATGAAGCACCAAGCAATATCTTTGGAATCGGCGAAACCATCAGCCGCTGAAGGTCCAACCGTGCACGGGCAGATGAATCCCGAGGTGGTTGTCGTCGATCCCGATGAGAAAATCTTCGGTGAAAATGCTCCAGAGGGCGATACCAAGGACCCGATGGATACGGTTCCCATAAGTTCTCTCGAAGATCTGGACGAAGCGATCATGAAGAAAATCGACAAGGCCGAGTCGTTGGACGACTGGTTGGAGATCCGATCACAATTGAAAGTCGAAAGGTCAAACGAGAACGTGAGGAAGGTCACGCTGTACGTGAAGGACAGGCTGGACAAGCTGCCGGAGGGGGAGCGAAGACAGTGGGCCAGGAACGTCGTCACGGCACTTTACAGGGACATACTACCCGAGTCCCTGATAGACCTGCTGGTCGGTCAGTTCTTTCCCGGCGATAGCGGTGTCGACGTGGACGCGAGGCCAGACTGGCTGGACTTGGACAAGTTCCGCAGGGGCCAGAAATTCGCCGTCAAGTACCTGTCCTCTATATGCTACGCCGATTTTTTATCCCTCGTCGTCGTGTTTTCCTTCCAGGATGCCCTCAAGCCGCTCGTCGTCACCGGCGCCTCCAGCACGCCTTACGCGGCGTTCAATAGGTATGACTTGACAGGCCATTTTTTTTGTGCCGACAATTTTCCTGGGTCTCAGTACGTCACAGTTGCAATGATCAAACACTCGATGAAGAAACTCGTTGTTAACTAAATCCGAGGGAATTAACTAACGTGGAAGACAAGGAAGGTGTATTATAACGCCTGGAGAGAGAACTAGGGCCTAAAATTTCGAGAGGGAAAAACAAAAAACACAAAATCCAAACTGATGATAACTTAACCGTGACAAATTATAATTAACCATAATTTTCTTATAACTGATAATGATTTTTGTAAATTATAACTGATTAAAAAAAAAAAAAAAAACAAATTTATTTACTGTTGTTATCTAATGGCACAATGAAACACCACATTTCAATTTAAATTTCTCAAAGAAAAAAAAAAAAATGGTGATAATAACTACTATTAACAAGTATTGTTATAATCTCAAATTTGCACTTTATGATTTTGTTAATATTGATTGTTTTACCTGATATTCTTATGAATAATCGAGTAAATGAGATTATTTCTACTGGGTGGGTTATAATGACGAGATATGCGGGGTAATAAATACCAGTTAGTCGGCGGATAAATATTAGTCAGGGGTGAGCGAAAAAAAATATACATACATCCAATGTTAAGTACACGAACGTGTTTACGTATATGATAAACATGGGTGAATACCTATGTGGCTGTGAGCAACAGGAGAAGGAAGAAAACCTCAAACCTATCGAATTTCGAGCTGAGGAGACATATTTCATCATCGTAAACTGGTTAGATAAGCAAAATATACGCGCAAAAGTGAGTTAAGGAATGTGTATGTGTATGCATCAGGTACTATTCGACAGCGGAGCGCGTCCGAAACTGGTACCTCAGCGATCCCTGGACTCCAGGCACATCGGCGTACAACGACGTCAGAGCGGTGCGCAAGATGCACGCCTGCGTCCGCAAGCGGCTCCAAAGCATGTCACCCGAGGAGTTGGCGGAAAGGTCGAGGATCCGGCATCCCTGGTGCCCGTCGCTCGACCTGCTCAAAGAGGATTTCCAATCGACGTGCCCGGCACCGGCACCAGGCCAATGTCCTTACGAGGCACTGACCGAGTATCCCGAGCTCAAGTTCAACAATCACCTGAACCAAGGCGAGATGGCTGCCACGCAGTTCGCCTTTGTCGGCCTCGTCGTCACTTATCCAAAGTTTTTCGGGGTCCACGGCGCCACCGACGACGACATCGAGGCCTTCTGCCACGCCTGGAGGGGAATCGGTTACCTCCTTGGAGTCGATGACGAGTGGGTACATTCATTATCAATCGTTCCTATATACCGTGAAAAAATGTGTACCTCGACCGTTATAATGTCACAGGGGACTATGGTGTTCTGTTGTCAAGGTACAACTATTGCCGGGGAACTTTGGGAGACGTAAGGCTGCGAACGACCAATTTGCTGGAGCACTGGGTCAAGCCGAACTTACGGGACGTCAACGCCGAGTGGGAGCACATGATGAGGTGCGCTGTCGAGGGTTTGCAATATTATTTTCCCGGCTCGACCTACGAGCTCTACATCACGGATCTCGCTCGGCTTTTGAACCTACACTTGCCCCGCTACTGGGGCGCCATGCCATACGTTGAACGAATGAGGTGCAGCGCGACCAGGTATAATAATAATAATAATAATAATACTANCGGTAAAAGAAATCAAATCTTTTATTTTTGCAAAGGAGAATAATCAGGGAAGGTAGCTTTTACAGGTATTTTTTGCTTATTCGATGTTATAGTTGTACGATAATTGTATAAAAAAAAAAAATCTAAAATAATTAAATACTCATAATAAAAGATCTTTGTTTACATGTGGTTTTTTTTTATGTGAATTATTTATTATGGTTTCAGATTTTATTTCGAGCAGTGCTGTAAAGTTGCAGCTTTTCGGGGTGTCTTGAATTACCGTTTGAAGCAAAGTACCGAAAAGGCCAAGACGTACGGCGAAGCCAAGCGCAACGAGCTAGAGCAAAGATCCGCCAGGACTTTGGAGGCGTACAGGCTCAAGCTGAAACAGAACAATGGGATGGAAAAATGTCCACAATTGGACCACATGATCACGCGGATATAAGTATATTTTGATGACTATTTGATGGCAAAGGAAGGAAGAACTGGACAGGTTAAAACTTACAAAAGTGAAAGAATGAACGGAATAGATCAAGCTTGGCTAAACATGAGAAGTGTGTGGGTACGATTGTCATTCGATTCATGATAAGTCAAACGATCATCATTTACTGTGGGTATAGCAGGTGATCCTTTCGTTATATGCAGCTTCAAAACAATTGTTGCTGATGACCATTCGACGCATCGGGAAAACGACGAGACCTCATGTGCCACCCTGGCACACTCGCTAGAGCCGTCCCTGAATCTATTACTCTTCTCATCTCCGCGCTCACGTATTATCTCACGTTAATATCGCGAATTCTGCACGATCAGTAAAAAAACACGCCGTCTTGACGTACTATACCGCGATCGATGAATCATTCATTATTCATATATGTATATGTGTTGTGCAATTACCGATGATCCGTTTCACGCAGTTGTACGATTGCAAGACGCATTACAATGTAACACATCGAAATAATAAAAATAGAATAAAATAAAGTAGCTGTTTGAGCACAAGATTCAAACCCACGTATACCTACATGTATGTATAGTTGATAAATGTGCAAATGTGCGTATTACGTCATGCATCGTGTACACGGTGCCCCTACCAGCGTGGAACGGTCCGATATCGTCGCATCCACTCTCTCCCGACCGACAGCCTGTTGGCTTCTTTCCGTGCAGTGTACAAGTAACCGTGACGGTCGCTGCCACCGCGCGCCGAACATCACATAATACACATAAAGTATCTTTCGATTATCGTCTCATCGGCGCGCACGTGTTGTACCGTACACGTATATGTACAGAAGGATGTCGAGCGAGCCAGAAAAAACCACCCGGTTCACCATGGAGGACGCGACTGCCGTCGTGAACGAGTTGTCTTGCTTCGAGGAGGCAAAGGTGATCGGGTTCGAGCTCAAGCCGTTCTCCAGCGAGACCCTCGGCTACCTGGGCCGCCACGAGATGCTGCGCGTAGAGGCGCGCGAGCTCCACGACAAAGACAAGGACGCGCCGAGCACGAGGAGCCTGACTTTCTTCGTTAAGTCCAAGGTAGCCGGTGCCAACGAGTTTGACGACGCGATATTCCGCGACGAGTCCAAGTTCTATGAGGACGTGGTACCTAAGCTCCTCGAGGCTTACCGATCGGAGCTCTGGGCGGCCAGGTGTCACCTGGTCAAGGAGGGCGGGGGGCTGCTGGTCCTGGAGGACTTGAGGGCCGGCGGGTACGAGGCGACGAATCGACCGCTACGTACGATCGAGCTGAGGTCCGCGATAGCCAGTCTGGCGAGGTTCCACGCGACCTCGATCCTCCTCGAGGCGAGGCTGGGCAAACCATTGGACCAGGCGTATCCTGGATTCTTCGGGGAGAAGGTGTTCGTCAACGACGGTGGCTGGTCCTGGAAGTGGCTGGTCACCGGTATGGAGGTGGCCGAGGACGTGGCCCGGGAACTTGGCCTCGACGCGTCCAGCGTACCGGCAGCCTACGAGTGGACGATCGAGAAGGTGTTGCCCGAGAAACACCGAGGTAGAAACGTCCTGGTCCATTGCGACCTCTGGTACAACAACCTGATGTTCAGCGAGTCGGGCTCGCGGTGTAGGCTCGTGGATTTTCAAATGACGACGTACGCGTCGTATGCCGTCGATTTGGCGCAGATTGTGTACTTGAACACGGGGGTGGAGGCCAGGCGGAGGACCGAGGCTCAGTTGATCGGATTGTACCACAGGGTGTTGGTGGAGACCCTCAGCGAGCACGGGTATGCCGGCAAGCCGATTTCTCTGGACGAAGTGGCGCGGGATTTCGAGGACAAGAGGATTTACGGATCCGTGGTGGCGGTGCAGTTTTTGCCGATCGTCCTGTGGGGCAAGGAGATGGCTGAGAAATACGCGAGTCCGGACACGGGGGCGTACCACATGTACACGAGTAGGGTCGAGCTGGTGAGATCGGCTATGCAACGGGATCGGCATTATCGTCGCAGGATCGAAGAGGTCGTCCGAGATTTGGTGGAGTGCGCGGAGGGTTGCCTGAAGAGTTGATTTGGATGATTTTACAACGAGAGATGCATGTGTTCAGGGATGAGTGATTTTTCAACAGATTTTACGTACGGGTACACTACGATCATGGTGCGTTGAAAAATTTTATTCTCACCCAAGCTTTGTTGATACGAAAATTAATCAATAAATCGTTTCGTTACTTTCAACCAAATCGATCATACGTGACGATAAAAATGTCAAAACTGTTATTAAAATTCCAATTTGGTTTTTACTTTTTATTATAGGAGCCTCAGTATAGTGAAAAACTAAAAAGAACCCATAAACAAGTTTTAATTCTGTATATGTATTCAAAACACATAAACATTAATGCGTAACCGAAACTTGTGATTTTTCGCAATTATATACAGTGTGGAGTAGCTTTTATGAGTCTCTGTTTTAACAGTATACGATATATTTGTTTTGTTTATTATAAAATTGTATGTGTGCTGTGTAACGGAGTAAAAATACAAATAAACATGGCATTGAACGATAAATTGAAATTATCAGTAAATACTATTAATTGATTTCCTATTATTAAATACTTGTGTGTAGACAAGCAAATGTAAAAAGGTTAAGTAAGTAAACGTAAAAGCAATTAAAAATCAATAAATACTTGAGTAACTTACTCATGTTGAATTAAAAGTCCATTAAAATGTATAATCACACTTATATCACATAATTGTTTTTAAATTGAAAAAAAAAAAAAAAAATGGTTTCGAAGAATTACTCAATGCGTAATATTCGTATCTATAACTCATGTTTGAGGCATACGAGATAATATCGTTACTTAAGCGAGTACGTACAATGAGCACATATACATTCATGATTTACGGTAAAAGAAATCAAATCTTTTATTTTTGCAAAGGAGAATAATCAGGGAAGGTAGCTTTTACAGGTATTTTTTGCTTATTCGATGTTATAGTTGTACGATAATTGTATAAAAAAAAAAAATCTAAAATAATTAAATACTCTTGTTGAGTACTCACACAAGTCGTAAGAAGTTATATAGTTTCAAATTCTATTAAGTCGTTCTGATTTATTAAAAAAATTAACTGTTTTTTAAAATACAGTAAAAATAATCAAGTATCATAACACTAATCGACGATGACGCTTGAATGTGCACGCTTAATGTATATTTTATAATAGAATATAATAGAATATGGACGGAAAAAATATTTTCTTATCGTTTCATGCAACTTTATCTTTGTTATATGAAATGTGGTTATTGGTTTTTCATAATCCTCATGATTGATTCGAGGAAAAAAAAAAAGGTGGAAATTATTGACACTTGTACAAATTTTTGATTACTAGAAAAAAGAGTTCTTAGTCACAACCGTAGTCCGTAAAATGATACAATATTCCTGCAGACAACGAAATTTATTTGTTTTTTCATTTCTAATAATTTTTGTATTTTAGTATTTATATGCTCTAAGTATTATGAAATTGTGTTTATCGCATCATAACCCAAGTATTGAAAATTTGCTTTTTTACAAAATACAAAGTCAAATGATGCTAATGAATGTTGTTGTCGCCTAGGTGTATAGTATTGTTATGACGAATAAATTTAGAAATATAAACGTCAAGAAATCAACAGAGGGTACTTTTGTTGTTTGTTTATAAAAAAGGTGCAGGATACAAACGACCACCACGTGCTAAATTACGCGATGTAGGGGGGGGGGAGGTTAACTTCTAAAATAAACCGTATACTGAACGCATGACACCGACTCGATTAATTATATAAAACAAAACGCTGTCACAAGTTTACGAAACAAACTAGTGGGAAGCAAATACTTTGATTGTAGTTTTTTACCTTCCAACCTCTACTTGGATTCATTAAAAAAATTTACGAGCGCTACCTGTGCTTTTACGTGCGATTCGATTGCAATATCGTGCATCCCTACCAACGGGGTGGCACGATAAAGGTACTTATCTTTAAAAAGGTTTTATTATTAAAAAAGAAAAAAAAAACGATAGGTTAGGATCGGCAATTACCTGAATTTTAGAAGTTTCCTTGTGTACTTAAACGTGCGTCGTTGTGGTTCATTAGTTAATTACCCGTGGTTGTACGTAGTTCTATGTAATTACACACGAATTAGAAAAACAACCGGTCACATATTATATATGTAAACGGGTGCACGTAAACAAATATAAGTTTGTCAACAGTTCATGCAGCAGAAGCAGTGGAGCTGACGCATCGTCGCATTTCGCGCGCTCTTTAACATCCGAGGCCGAGCTCGCGCCTGATTGGCTGAATCGATCGTCCGTCACGAGAGGGGCAGAAAGGGGAAGAGGGAGGGGCACACGCGCGCATGTACCGAAAATAAAACGTCATGTGCATGTGTTGTTGTTGTTGTTGTTGCTGTTGTCGCCGTTTCAGATGATATACCTATAATAAATTGATTTATTGATATTATTATCGAGCAGACGAGTCGGTCGTCGTGTGTGCACACAATCAACAAATCTATACGCTTGAATAGAGGGCTCGAGGACGCGGGAGTGGGTGGCGCGGCTCTACTTAAACGAAAGAGTGTGCAAATAAGTGCGAAATCGTCATTCAATCGCCGACCGTTGCTCTCGTTTCGTGCAGTGCAGCGCGTGTGTTTCGTGTGCGCGGTGGGTGTCTATTATCATTTAATTCGATCGAGCGAGCAGATCAGCGGATGGCGGCCGGATGCTCGAATCGTCCCACAAATAGCTGATATTAGCTTATTGTTCGCGTGTCTATAGATTATGTTGTGTCGTGTTTTTTTCCCCCCTTTTTTTTTTTTTTTTGGAGCTACCGAAAAAATAAAAAAACTGTTAGTCAAGACGCTGTGAAGATTTTTCTCCACAGAAATACATAAAATCTAAATTGCACGTACGTATCTCTCGTATCTCTACGTACAGTTGACAAATCAACGAGCTTGAGCCTTAATTTTAACCTTATACCACGAAAAGCCGACTTCGGGGACATTGTGATAAAACAGTGATTGTCCTCTACTATCAGCGCAACGTTAAAAGTGAAGACACAAGTGTTGTGTAGAGACATAAGATAAGAACGGTAGGAATGAAGGTCATAATATAACGCGCTATAGGGGTAACAAAAATCTGGTCAGATAGAAGGGCTGTACCTCTATTGTAAAAAATCTTTGACACAGCGAAACCAATGTTTTTGGGGCTCCGCTAATGCTGGTACTGTAATTATGCCGCCAAGTCGACTGGACGCGGTTTACCGGAGCATCCTTCTCACCAAGTTCTTCACCAAGGGCTGGGGCAGTCCCGAGAACCTGAGAAGGTATAAATAATATATAAGTATATATTTTATATTGGTGAAGACGTCTTCTGCTCCGAAAAACTGCGGGGCTGTCTGCTATCGTAAATATATACACATATACGCATACACGTAATTCTAATATACCTATAGTTGCGATTACAAAAGAGAACAATATGTGTCGCGCACGACTTGCTAAAAGGTTTACATTGCGTCCTACATTAATCATCGGTGGTTCAGCAAATATTTTTGCGGAAAATTTCAATTGCAACAATGATTTCAATCATAATCTTATCCAGGCTCAGAATTCTTAAGCGATTCGCACTAATATATATATAACATTGCTGCGTTAATGAAAAATATATTTGTATATATGCCATACGACATCACGTGTACAGCGTACAGCTGTTGCATCTCTATGAATGTATACAAGTACAAATATAAACGCTTTTTAGAAACTTTCTGTTTTGTTTGTAGATACCTCATGTTTACCTCTTTTTTTTGCAGGATATTCAAATTTAGAAGAGTCATATCCAACAGAGACGCTTGTTACAATCTCATACCCAGGGATTATCCAATATTGATAACAAAAGTTTGTTTGCACATTACTTATCTATCATATGGATGTGTAATGATATTAATGTGGATACTTATATTGTTTTTCTTTTTTTTCTTTTAGGACGAAGAATGGTCAGACTGTCACGTGCTGGAGGGCCAGTTCGAAACGCCACTGGAGAAAAATCTACCTGGTTTAATACCTGAAGAGACCAAGACAGCTTATTTCCAGATGATTTTACCTAAAAACTGGAAGTCACAGAAACTCAAGCCAGTGTGCTTGAATCTTGCTGGCACAGGAGATCATGTAAGAGTTATTTATATTTTTTGTTTTTCATGTTTAAGTTATTTATATTTTTCTAACTTGACACTTAATAGCCATGTAGGTTTATATTCATAATATGACTTGTGTATTCTAGTATTTTTGGCGAAGAAGGAATCTGTTTGCAAAACCTCTATTGAAGGAAACAGGGATAGCATCCGTTTTGATAGAAAATCCATTTTATGGTCTTAGAAAACCAAAAGATCAAATGTAAGCATATTTTTGTACCTAACTTGTTTTCCAAACAAACAACCTAAAACTGTTCTCCTTTTTTAGACGTTCTTGTTTACATAATGTTTCTGACATTTTTATCATGGGTGGATGTCTAATTATGGAATCAATCGTGATACTCAATTGGTGTGAACAGCAAGGTTTTGGGCCTCTTGGTCTTACTGGCCTGTCTATGGGTGGACATGTATGTATTTCTTATTTAATTAATTTTCAATTATTATTATTGTCTAAAAAAACCTAAGCAAGAAAAATAAAGTGAATTTTTGCACTTACAGATGGCATCTTTAGCAGCCACCAATTGGCCAAAACCTATACCGTTAGTTCCGTGTCTTTCTTGGTCAACTGCGGCCCCGGTATTCACTCAAGGAGTGATGAGCGCGTCCATTAATTGGGCATTACTGGAGTCGCAGTATTTTGAAAATGAAGTTTACCAAAACGATTTGGCAAAAATGGTCAAAATTATTGATCAAGATGTTAGTATAGTTATTATTAAATTTTTATTAACTGTGCTGGAAATCTAAATAATTTTAATTTTCTTTATTAGGATGCATTTCTTGCTGGACAGCACTTTGCAAAACATTTTCCGGCTAGCATGAAAAGGTTTAATAAAATAAAAGATGAGTCGCGTGATGATGTAAATAATTTAAGCTTAAAGTATGAAAAAGATGTTCAGACTCCATTGAATGGTAATAATGGAAATGGAACTGTTCAAAAGGCACAATTTGCAGAAGAAAAGGCCGCAGCAACTTTATTTCCTTTACATCTTATTTCAGATAGGTTTAAAAATTCTCAAGAAGATGCATTGAAGGGTAAGAAATTTAATTGCTTAACAAAAGAGGGCTTTTGGAGGATAATTTTGAGTTGTGCATAAAATGATTATTTGTTCTCCTTTGCTTTTTTTATCTTGCATATTTGATTAAAAACCCTTTAACCGAAACACCAGTTTTATTTGCTATAAATCTAACATATTTGTATGGAATGAACAACTGCATTAGCATTGCCAATTTTTGCCACTTTAACTGGTATTTGAAAATTGTTTATATAAAAACTTGAAAGTTATTAAAGTGTAGATTTTTTAAACTTGAGTAAACAAGGGTTACTACTTTCAGATTTGCCTTGAAATTTTTAATGATAAATACTTTATAAAGGATTGATAAAAATTATGAGAGTAACAGCATACTTTTTAAAATTAGTTCAACATAATTGCCTCAGCAGTACAACCAAAAAAAAAAAAGACCCTTTATTACCTTCAAAGTAATACAACCAAAAACGATGAAACGAAAATCCAATGCTTGTGTGATTAGTTTTTTCTTTTGGGGATCTCTTAGGGATCTGCCTATTGCCTGTGTCGAAGCACCCACTATTTTCAGATAAAAAGTGGCGAGAACGCGAAGCCCTTCAGTTCATGCGTGGTGTGATGGATGAGTGTACCCATCTTCAAAACTTTGAGGTGCCAGTCGACACTGAACTCATCATTGCAGTATGCGCCCGCGACGACGCCTACGTGCCCAGGGATGACTGCGTGAGTCTAGACAAAATTTGGCCTGGTGCTGAAATACGCTTCGTTGATGCGGGACATGTCAGCGCCTACCTACTTTATCAAAAGATGTTCAGGTGAGCTTAAATTTCAGCAAATTCATTTTGAATTAAATAATAATTAATTTGCTTCTTGAAAAAACTAATTTTTCATGTATGAATATTTTCTGTACCATGTTTTGCAGATCAACGATTGCTGAAGCTTTTGAAAGGTATTTAAAAAAATATCCAATGGACAATAGTTGACGCAAAAGTGAAAATTTATTCTCTTGAAAGTGATATACTGTTGAGTATTTATTTGAACCAATGATGACAAAGATTTTTTATTCAACCTGTAATGAATAATTTGTGGGTGATGAGTGAATTAAAAGAGAAAAAAGTAATTAGCTGGTCGCTGTTGAAAGAGACCAACTACAAACGACAATATAATATTGTGATTGAATGTCTATTGTTGTGTGGACTGTCAGTAGAACTGAGTTCTGTTTTAGATTATATTTGAGAGCAGTACATACAACAGTATACCGTTCCTAAATAGTACTCGGGACAGATCTCTCCTGTCTGTACAAAGATTATTGTTATAAATGCTCTATGATTATACAGGGTCAAGTTTTTTAAGCACTTGTTTTTTGTTGCAATATAGTCCAGATAGAGAAATTCACGTATTTACACAAGACGTTTACAAATAAATATTTTATTTTGAAAATCAAAATCGTATATTTTTTAATACATTTTTACAAGGACGATCGATTCATTCTGATGGAATTTTAAAGTTATGCCCATCCACTTATAAATTTTTATTGTTAATCAGCTGTTTTCAGTTGAACATTAGATTGCAATGTGCAAAATTTTGTAAAAATAAATTGTACAGAAAATAAAAGAAAATTATATTAATGATTAGATGGTTTTATTTAATTATATAAAAAGTCCTAGCTAACAGTGTGAAAATTTCTATGCATCAACAAGAGTCTCACTACTACAGTAATGTGTTGGTATTATTGGCATTAATTACAATGGGCCCTCTGTAAGAAACAGGGCCCGCGGGATTGCATATTCTACATACCTCTTTGAGGTAAATACACTAAAATAAAAAAAAATCAGATATCTTTGTTTCATAAAAAAGCATGTATTTACGTCACTGATGAAATGACAAATTCGAAGTGAGGGTATAGTCTCGTCACTCGTGTCAACTAAGTTGTTTTTATTACTTTCACAGTAAGTTTTCAGTCAGTTTCAGTTTCTAGAATATAGCCGCCATATAGGCAAGATGTATTTTAATCAGCGCCATCTAGCGTGCGATTTTTCTCGTCGCTCATAAACCCTATACTGACGTTTTTTTTGCTTCGGGCGTGATCGGACTTCTTCGGCGGCCCTCGCTCTTGTGTGTATTTCAATCAGCGCCATCTAGCGTGTGATTTTTCTCGTCGCTCATAGACCCTACTGACGTTTTTTTTTTGGCCGGCGAAGAAAAGCACAACTCAGATTTTGCCGTTCAAAATGACATCGAGAATTCTGAGTTGTGCTTTTTTTGTCCCCGTCAAACTGGCTATATTCGACGGCCCGGATACTCTATACTGACATTTTTTTGCTTCGGACGTGATCCGGTGATCGGGCTTCGTCGGTGGGGGCGGCCTTTGCTCTTGAAGGTCACACCCAAAGCCAATAAACGTGTCCGTAGGGTATCCAGCCCGTCAAATATAGCCAGTTTGACGGGGACAAAAAAAGCACAACTCAGATTTCTCTATGTCATTTTGAACGGCAAAATCTGAGTTGTGCTTTTCTTCGCAGGCCAAAAAAAAAACGTCAGTAGGGTCTATGAGCGACGAGAAAAATCACACGCTAGATGGCGCTGATTAAATTACACACTAGAGCGAGGGCCGCCGAAGAAGCCCGATCACGCCCGAAGAAGAAGTAAATGTCTAAATAAGGGGGAATCGAGGGGAGGGGCGTCGAGAGTCGAAAGTCGAGAATTTCCAGTCGAGACAATAATCACCCGCTAGATAGTGTTGGATTTTTGAACTAAAAACTAAAAAACATGAAAATATCACATTTAAAAATATATAAAATCTCATTTCTCTCTATATACCTAAGTAATAAAAAATAAAGCAAATATATTACTTAGCTAAAATACGCTAGTGACAACAGCGTTTGCATTCAATTACAACTTAAGTTGTAATGGTAAATCTCCGCCTTTCGGAAAGCACGTTGTGTGTGTATAAAAGAGAGAGTCTTCCCGGCGGTATTTGCCCGCACCCGCATGCTCGCATCCCCGTACGTCTATACTCTGGTGGGTAAAATTTTAAGCTGTGAAAATAGGGCGTGTATATATATATATATATATATATATATAAGTATATATTTGTTTAGTTCATTATAGTTCAAGTTTCGGCATTGTGGGCCGGCACTCATGTCGTCGAGCCCGACACTGACGACAAGGTATAGTAATTAAGTCTTTAGGCGTTCAGGCAGTTCCGTACTTTCGTATAGTACGGGCATGACAATTACTCTACATCGTCAAACAAACATTAAATACGTATATCCTGGTCTACACGAGCATTTAGTCATCAATGTTATCATCGTGAATTAAATTTCCGAGTGATCCCAGTTGTCATACCACCGGGGGACGGAAATTAGCACGTACTTTACCTGATGTACTAGGATGACCTAACCCCCTTCGACTTGCGCGTGTGTAAATTTTTAGTTCATGTGGTGTGTGATTTCCCTTCAAAATAAACTGCAGTTGAGAAGTGCTCGTTTTGTAACTAGTGACAAGCTAAGTAAATTAAATCAAACGTTCCCCGTGCACCCCCGCATTTCAAATATCATATATTCTTTTCTGCTCTCGATTCTTGTATCTCTAATTACGTGCCATACTAATTAGTAATGAACTGGTAATGAAACCAAGTGCATGTGCGTTCTTGAGCCCTAAGCTATGATAATTGTTATTTAAAAATTAGTCGATATTTCGTGTGATAAGAAAAGAGGCGGCGACAGTCGGACAATCTGCTCCAAAAAAAAAAAGACAGCAACACCATAAGTACATATACTTTTTCGTTTATATCACAATCACATCACAGTCGCACACAAGCAATCCAAGCAGACAAGCGTAGTGTGAGAGAAGTAGAGGAGGAACATCCAAGAGGAGGAGAGGAAGACGAGGAAAAGAAGGAAAGAGTGAGTAGGAAGAAACTGGATGTTACCGTAGTGCGGTGCTGCACGGCCGCGTACTGAGGAAATTCTCGAGGCAGCGGTGATTTTTTGTAAAGACAACTACCATAAAATTAATTAGGTTAGGGAAAAAAATTATCCGTAACAAGATATCGAGGCTCGTGAAAGATTTAAAGTGCAGGAAGTGTCTTTGATCGCATAATTACATATAATTGCGGGCTCGCATGTGTATGCACCACGAGGTCGCACGCGCTGAGCTGACATAACCTCACTCTCGGACATACGCTTGTCTCGCTTTCACCCCCCTTCCCCTCACGAGGTCTGCAGAAAAGGCGTACACAGAAGAAAAAGAGAGAGAGAAAAGAAAACTCGTCGACTAGAACAAAGTGCATAGTGCAATATAGGAAGAAAGCACCAGAGTGCAGTGCAAGGCCGCATTCATGTCATTCCTCAGGTGCTGAGCACGTAGAGCACAGGAGGGTGGGCCAGAGATCGAGGGCCAGTGTGCTGGTGCTCTCTATCATCAACTCCTCGTTCTCCTCTCCTCCTCACATCCCAGTGCGCGTTATCGCGTAACATTCTTCTCCTCGGCGAAGATGGCGGCCAAGGTGGCGAGCAGTGCTGCTGCCAATAGCGTGCAGCAACAGCCGGCATCCACAAAGCAGCAGCAACATCCGAGTGTCGTTGTTGCGAAGGAGGAAAAGCCGGCATCATTAACAGTTACAACGGTAGCCGGCTTGTCGTATGCCCGTGTACTCAATCCTAAGGCTGCCAGCGAAGCGTCCGTTGCTGCTGCACCGATGACAAGCAACAACGGCAACACGACGACGACGACGTTGTCTACGTCTACAACAATACCTTCGTCATCAATCTCGCAAAATTCCGGTGAGTTGTTGCTTATACGTTGCTTTTTGGACGACTAATTATTCACATAGTGGTGGGCTATGATAAATTATAAATCAACAGTAACTGGAAAAGTTTTCAATTGGAGTTTATCTCGTTGAACAATTTCTCAGTTACATTTATATTTTAATCATAGTTATCATGTCAATTAAAAATGCTTTGTAAATTAATATTAACACTTTAGTTTAAAGGTAACTTTCTATGACTTATTAATGAATACGTCTAATTGTATTGTGTCTAGTTTAATTAAATGTATAAGATGAGTTTACAAAACTCTTTCTCTGAAAAAGCTTTAAAAATATAATTTTATAGTAACTGATCAGTTGATTCTACATAGTATCATTCAGCTGTTTTAGAGTAACCATCGACTTTTGGATAAATTATCAATAAATATAAACTCGTTTTCTTACTCTGAACGGTATTGGTTCAACAAAATAAAACTAAAAAAATTTTATTACATTATGTTTGATCAAGTATACATGCTCAAAATATTTAAATTACCATTTTTTAATTTTTTGCAGGTTGTGCAAAGGAAAATAATAAAGAAAATATTGGTGGACAAGTTTCTGCACAGAACGCTTCAGAAATTAGAGGCAAGCCCTTCAAAAAATCAAGTCACAGATTCGAAACTCACAGATATATACCTACAGAGCGAAGACTGTACGGTAATTACGTAAGACACAATCACTCAGCTCCTATGGAAGCTAAAGTTGTACATACAGATCATTCCGTTGAAACTGCGAAAGAGGCAACTGAAGAGATTGTCCAAAACGGGAACTTAAACGGTACTGATGACGAATTTCAAACTGTTGCTCCCAAAAGTGCCAGAAGAAAGGAAAAGTTGAAGGAACTCCGAGAGCATGCTGAGTCTCAACACTTTCGTTTCAGGGACAGACAAAAACTGCATGTCCGCAGAGTAGAAAGTAACGAAAGACCACGAGGTAGGAGAATAGAAAGTAACGAGAGAGTACATGGCAAACGAGTCGAAAGCAATGAACGATTGCTTAAAGAAAAGGAACACATCAAAGATGGTCCTAAAGAAAAAGAAAAGGACAAAGACAGGGATAAGGATAAGGTTTCCGAAGCCAACAACGAGGAAGTTGAAGCTCAACCAATAAAATATATTGAAGCTCCTCTGCCTGCTGTTAATCCTTGGAACAAGGGCAAAGTTAGTGCACCTCAATCTCGAGTTATCCCTCCAACTCCTTCTGTGCCAGTAGCAGCTCCAGTTCCGTTGACACCGAAAGTAGCCCCGGTAGTTTCAGAAAAATCGGTCGAAAAGGAAAAAAGAGTGTTACAGCCTCAACAGCAACAGCAAAAGAATAAAATTGGTAAGTACTTTATTTTTGCAAGTATAAATAATTAAATATTTGATCTATCAGTTTTAAATCAAACATCAATGTTACCTTGTCTGATAAGCACACATCATGTCAAAAAAAATAAACGAAAAGTTTCTCAATTGCATGAAAAATAATTTAAGTGATCAGTGAAAATTATTAATCAACGAATTGTTGTGTTATTTGACAGTCTAAATTTATGAAATAAGTATAACCGTCATTGGTTTTTTAGTCTTAATTTACATTATAAATTTATTTCATACTGTTGATAAAAACATCAATTTAAATTAATGATGCATAAAAAATGCTAATTTTTACAAACAATACACATTGAAATTTTTTTTTAATTTTTATGTAGTAGATGTTGTTGGTATACAAATTAATGTAGCAAAATAAAAGTAAAAAATTGCTGAGATACGAATCGGCTTATAACATTTAAAATCCTTAAAATACCAATAATATTGCGTGCGTGCAAACATTTTAATATGAACATTAACGGACGCCTATAAAAAAAATCGATCATTTTACTCGAATTATAATTAATATTTGGTTCAAAATCCTACATTACCAATTTATTTAAAAGTATTTTTTATCCGAAATGTTTTTTCTTGCTAATTCATATTCGACGGCTGTACGATTAACAAAGTAATGTATCTGAATTTTTTTATCATTGACGTAGTTGCTAGAAATGATGAAATTTGTCCCATATGCATCTGAACCATCCATTTTTCCATCAAACAAAGCATTTACATATTTTGTAACTCTCGAATTTGATTGACCCACAAACAAATTTTTTTTTACTTGTACTGAGTAAATTACGTTTATGATTAAAGAAGAAAAAAAAAACTCGCACATGTGTTTCGTAATCCAGTTGCGCTTGTTACTTATTAAAAAAAAGCCACGCGTCGAAATTTATCTGCGGTTTATTCGATTAGGTGAAAGAAGAAGAGTCTCTTTCCTTCAAGTATCTAGCTGCTCTGCAACTTGACTTTTTTTTTCTTTCCCAGCATAAACGTTCGATTAGAATAGGTACCATGTGTCTATGGCAAGAGTAATTCGTGATCCTCGTGAAATTCCGTAATTTTTTTCTCTATCCTATTCATGTTTTTTTTTTTCTGAAATATCTTTCAGCCAAAAATATGATTAAATTAAATTTTATCATATTTCAAATATTTTTATGTTTACTATTTTGCATAAATTTTAATTAAAAAGAAGATAAATTAAATTTTATCATATTTTTTAAATATTTTACAGAGAAAAAAAATCGACAGATAAATTTCAAAATGATGATCTTGATAAAAGTTGTCTGTAATGAGAAAAATAATGATAGGTAGACTATGGTGAAACAATATGAAAATTTGAAATTAAAATGTTATTTGCTCTTATCTACAAACTTAAGTAAATAGTACTACTTCAACTCATCATTATTTCTGTATGCACGTTTGTACATGACTTCATTTACGGAGACAACGAAAATACTAATAAAAAAAACCAATGACGTATAATGGATGTAAGAAATATGTTTGTGTAATGACTATCCAGAAACGTAACGAGGTGTAAGGTTATGTTTGGAAAGCACGTGTTGGCCATGCCGTATAAAATCGATCCAAAAATAGTTGGTACCGAGATAATATCTTGCAGTAGCAAATTTTTTATATCAATTAGTTTTCGTACAGTGTGATAAATTACTATCGTACAAAATGAAATAAATATTAGAATTATTTCAAAGTACAGATACCCAATAATATTAGTTAATCACAGAAATAATTATTTTTGTATTAATTAGACATATTAGTAAATATTAGTTTTTAATTGTAGAGATAAAAAAACTGTGAGTACTTTGTCAACAGAAATTGATAAAATTTGTCAAATACAAGGTTTTTTATTAGTAATTTATTCAGTTCACTATGTTGTTACGTTTTTAAATGGGGCACTATTTTCGACCCAAAAATAAAAAAAATTGCAATCTACGTAAAAATATGAATAACTTCATTTTACATCGAGAAACTTGAAATTTTAAAATATACATCAACAAGCATTAATTTTATAATCTTAGCAAATTTTTGTATAAATCTCAAGTTGTATTTATTAACATGGTTGTCGATTGGTTGCTGAGTAGATAAGAAAAATGTATGAATAAAGCCAGTGGTGTCCCCGTCTTCTTACGTAACACATTTCGCGCAGCACGCTAATTTTTGCGAAAAAAAGAACAAACAAATCCTTATTTTACTCAAAAGAAAAAATGAACATTTTAATCATGTCGTTATTTGGTATTTACAAATATTGCAGCTGTTTAACAAAAACATAGTATTTTTATATCAGTATAAAAAACTTTGTCTCCGCATCCTATAGGATTAAAAATGAAATGTCAAAAACAATGTTAATAACGTAGCTTGTAGTGTGACAAGAAAGAAATAATATTTTAAGCTTGGTACAGGCTTTGAATATTCACACAAACTTTAGATGATTACTGCTTTTCACCTGTAACGTCATATGTACTATTTGCACACTCTTGCAGTTAAACAGTTGTCGTTATATTTAAAATGTTCCCCGACAGTCCTTTACCTCGCGTAGTAATGTCCAGGCAGGAAAGGCTAGTAGATTATTACTAATAAACTAATAGAAAGTTACAAATCACTTGTTATTTTTATAAATATTGTAGCTAAAAATATTAATATGAAATTGCAGTAACTGAATTGTACTGTAAAATTTATAAATTATATATTATGTTTTTAAGGAGAGTAAAAATACTAACCCAAAGTTACGTGTGATTAAATAAATTCTCGATTGTAAGATACATTACAATGGCACAATTTACGCTAAGCTCTTGTAAGCTGCATACTTCAAGTATCGCTTTATATTATCGTTACCTTTTGGGATATTGTACTCGATTGCCGTGTTAAATGACACATATCTGAAATTGGGGTGATAATTTATGTCTTAGTCATTACAAAATTACATTTAAAAAAAAAAAAAAATTAATGAAGTAATTAAAAATCAATTGTTAATTAAGCAATTAATAACCCCATTTGACGCCTCAACACCGTTATATCTGAACATTTAAAATACGCTACTTGATTGCTCCCGTACTAAATATAGATGGAGCATTCCTGCAGCAATCAAAGTGGCGCCAACTACAATACTAAGTATATTTTCAAGATTCCACGTTTAAAACGAGCCGACGCTTTCTCACCTGCTTAATTAATACAATCATCACACGCACACTACAATATGTTATACATGCTCGTGGCGACTGTATAAATAACAGCAGTTTTCAATGATCGCATGTTTTCCTTGAACTGAGCGAGAGTGAGAGGCAGCGCCGACGATTCAAAGCGCACGTAATATACATATGTGTACACGTGCACCACATAGGCCTATACACACAGTGAAAGCTTTGTAACATATCAATATACTTGGGGTAGTAGCATCCAACGGGTACGTTTTATCTTTTGGAGATCAATGAAAAATGTAATCATCACGTTGGTAACTCGAAGTATACGTACAACCCAGTAAGTATAACCGATGGAAAGATACAGTGCTTCGGAAAATTCCTCGCGTGACGTACACACTATCAGAAAATGCGTGTGTATGTGTGCACGAGCTCTCGTAAACCATTCGAGAGTTGTAGCGCTCTAATGTAAAATTTATTACTGATCCCCCCCCTATCACTTCAACATAAACCAAAACGTGATGTTCCAAACGCGTTTTCGTATTTATTTTTATCATCGCTGGAGGCCTCGTGGCCGACGCTAACACACACACACACATATATATATATACG